GTACGCATGTGCATCGAATGCCAGCCCTCTGTAAGCGTGTGTGTGCGCTATGGCGTCTGTGGCGTGTTTCTGACACTGCAGATCAATACGGGGCGCTCGCGTTTGCGCCCTGGAGCCGCAGACCAGCAGCTGCAGAGCAGAAACGGGCATGTGGGACTGAAAGGGAGTTTTTGCTTCCCACGCCCCAGCACTGGTGTGATGTGTATGTGTGTACGTGTGTACACATCACACTTCAAAAAGCTCTCGGGAAAACTGAATTGAAAGACAATATGAATCTGTGAATTTTTGAAGTACTGTCATGTATACACACACGTGTGTACATGTGTGAACATGTGTCCACATACACGTGCACATATATGTAGACATGCACGTGTGCATATACATATGTGCACACCGCACACACACAATGACATGTATTACCTTTAAAATTCTTTCACTCAAAACTGAAAGCAAACGTGCCCCCCAGACTGCAGAAGCGTGTCACTGGCCGCAGTCTGGCCCCGTTCAGGAGTGGCTCCAGGTACCTGGGCGGCCGCAGCTCTTCATGTCCTCCAGGTAGCGGATCAGCTCCTGCACCTTCACTTTGTTGCCCCACCAGTAGGGGACCCCCGGCCACAGCTCCCTGTGCCGGCTCACGGTGTCCTCGTCCTCGTAGAAGATGATCACCTGCTGTCTCTGCGCCCACAGCTGGCGCAGCGTCGGCACCTCCTGGAAGGGACAGAGTTTCTGGGTGCCAAGTGAGAGGCACCCACAGTGCGTGGCTCCCGCACTCTGACCAGCCCATGATGCCCACCCCAAGCCCACGGGACCCGCTCTGAGACCTCTGTTAGTGATTCCAACAACAGGGAAGGTTGGTTTCCACTGCAGATGTCCCTGTCAAAGGACAGGAAGTGTCTCCCAAGGCGGAGACTCCCATTTTACTGAGGGGTCTCCACAGCAAGGCCTGTCCTCCGTCAGGACCTCAGGCAGAGAGGGTGGGAGGGCAGGGACCCCGCGCCTCCCCTGGGAACTCTACATAACAGGACGTCCCACGGGCTCACGGCACCACCGTCGTCTCTATTTTATCACCAAAACACACGGGCTGGGATGCTCTCCTTGGCCTTAAAGACGTCCTTGGAGAAATGCCACCCATAAAATGGTTTGAAATGAATGGTAACCTCGACCAAAAATGGACATAGATTTAACTTCTCAGGCTTCCTGGAGACTAGGGGAGAGCACCCGCCCATCGCCATCATGGAAACAGAGAAAATCACCCCATGATTGAACTGTGTGGCCAAGTGAACTGTCTCCCCCATTCACACTGGAAGTCCTCACCCTTGGTATCTCAGAGCGGGACCTTATGTGGAAGAAGGCCATTGCACATGTGATTCGCTGAGATCGTTGTGCAGTAGGGTGGCCCTAAGTCCTGTGAGGGTGTCTTTATAAGAAGGGGGCAATTGGACACGGGGAGAATGCCATGTCCAGTTGGAGGGATCCTGCCACAAGGCAGGTGCCACCAGACGCTGGAGTAAGGCCTGGAGCCCCCTCTCTCAGCACGGTCAGGGGAGTGTGGCCCTGTGGCCTCTGATCTCAGACCCCTGGGTCCACAACTGCGAGGCGGACACATCCCTGCTCTTCACAGGAGGCCCCAGGAGACCCACGCAGAGAGCGCCCCGCAGGTTACGCAGACTATCACAACCCTGCAGTTACTTCTAAACTAGTAACGGGCACAGCCTGAGGTGTAGGAGACACAGCTGTGAACCCGCCCCAAGGCCCTCCCTGCTGTCTGTGACACTCCACTAACACTGCTGCTGCCATTGAGCAAACTTCCCATGTGCAGCTGTCCCCACCAGGCCAGCTGGGCCCACTCTGCACGTAGGATGCAGGAAGACCCCACTACTCAGCCCCATCCGCACCAGGATAATCTCGGATCACACCTGGGTGGGGGGCCAGGGAGCCAGTCTAGTCTGCAGATGACACCCCCCACCCCTGCCAGGAGAGATGTAGGAGGGATGCTCACCCCCCGTGGGCACAGCATGTCCCCAAAGATGTTCTGGATGCAAGTGACCAGGTACTCATGCAGGTCCGTGCTCAGGCCCTGAAAGTTCCTGCAGGCCAGGAGGACCACCTCCCGGGGGTGCTTCTCCAGCCACTCCGAGATCTCCGTGAGCGTGTCCTGGGAGGGGAAGGGAGGGATGCAGTCCTTTAGACATTCCTGGGGGGCTCCAAGAAGACGAGGAAGCTCCCCCTGTGAAGGGGCTTCCAAGGACAAAACTTCTCCACAGATGTGCCAAGTCACGTACAAGGAAATAGATGAGGCACACGGTCTAGCAGAAACCACAGTCAGGCCATCTGGCCAGGGCTCCATGGTTGAGGGAGGAGGCGGGGGGAGCGCAGTCCAGCGGGAGAAGGGGAGAGCAGGAGCCTTCTAGGTGG